CCCCCAAACCCTGGAGTGCCAACCACCCCAGCTTACCTCTGGATCCAAACCCGTCGAGCCCCGGAACGATCCCGTCAGGAGGGCAAAGGATCCAGAAAAAGAGATTTCAAAAAGAAGGTGGAAAAATAAAAACAATGAGAGAAACAAACTCTGGTTAAGGAACCAGATTGGGAAAAAGTCAGGGGAGAGCATTTCCTTGGTTGGCTGGGTGGGGTTTTTTTGTTGTTGTGGTGGTGGTTTTGTTTTCCTGGAAACATCTCAGTGCAGATTTCTGAGAGGAAAACACCCACCATTTCCTTCCATTCTCCCAAAAAGAAAAGAAAAGGAACAACTAAAACCAAAAAAAGCAAATTAGCCCAAACACAACAGATCAGCTGGGTTTGTTGGGGTTTTTTTGTTGTTTGTTTTTTTTTTGCTGTTTTTTCCTTTTTTTTTTTCTTTGACACTTTTTAAACTCTACTTTTTTTTGTCTTTTTTTTTGTTTTGTAATTTTTTTTCCTTTTTTGTGTGGTTTTTTTTTTTTTCTTCATGCATTTTTAACACCTTGTATAAGCCTTTGAGAATAAATAAGCTCCATTTTGCTTCCACATCTCTAAAAACTGCAGCATTTTTTAAACTATGGTCATTTGAAATCGTGCAACGTTGGTTTTTGTTTTTGTTTTGCAACACCCCTTTTTAAAAAATGGAAAATATATATATATATATATATTTGTTTGGTTGTTTTCTTGTTTAAAACTAAACCCTCTACAACGCAAATAATCCAACTTTAAAATAAAAAAAAAAACCAAAGAACTCAAGAAGAAAACAAAAATAAACCAAAATTATACACAATTGGAACTGTCAACAGTACAGATGAGCACAAGAAATAAAATTAGATCTGAAACATATTTATAGAAGCACGAAGGAGGGTGTTGGTTTTTCTTTAGATTGTCATTCTTCTCATTGTCTTTTGAAAATTAGGAGGAGTTTAATGGATATTAAAGTCTTGGGGGGGGGGAGGAAGGATAATGACCTGGACAAAAAAAATAATAATATCATAATAAAATAATCCCGAGCCACCCAGGAAATAAAGACCCAAG